CTTCCTGCCCTGGGAGGTTCTAAGCTAGGCCAAAGCTGAGGGTTTCTGAGCTCTTTGCACCATGGTGTCCTGTTTATTTACTATAAAGAGTTGCAAGTCTGTTTTACTGAGTTCAGCTTTGCTCTAATTATTGTCCTTTTAGCTTCTCCTGGGCAGCTAAACCCATGAAAACAGTTGATTTTTGTGACCTCTGTATTTTCTGGTTGCAGGCCTTAACTTTAGCAAATTCCTCGCGACGAAAATACACAACTGGGGAAATTGTTAACCTGATGTCAGCAGATACTCAGCAACTCATGGAGCTAACTCTAAACATCAACCTGTTGTGGTCAGCACCTTTTCAGATCATCATGGCTGTCGTCTTTCTGTGGAAAGAACTTGGCCCCTCAGTCCTAGCAGGTGTTGCACTGCTTCTTTTGGTTATACCTATAAATGCGCTCATTGCAGCCAAAGTAAAAAGATTGAAGGTGAGATATTTAAATAAGCATAGTAAGGAGAGGTTAAGTTGTCATAATAGAGGAATGAAGGGGGGTGGGGTGGGATAAATTGTGCGTGTATAAGAATACTACTGGTACACCTAAATTAAACCCAAAACAAATAAACAATGCCAAGCCACAGCTGTTTTTCATTGAGGAGGGGAAGCATAACTGCAGTAAGAAAGCCATATGTTTGATAGCTAAGCTAGTATTTAGGTTGGATACCTACATTTTTGTTATACTGAAACAATACTTTTGTCTTAGTAAAAATTACTGTATGACTCAATTTAGGAAACAGCTATGGGTTTGCATATTTCATTAGTTAATTCCATTAAATAAAGGATTTAGTTAAATAAGGCCCTCTTCCACTTTTATTATTCAGGCTTAGCTGCTGACTCAAATTTAGCACATTCTCCTGAGACTATAGGAATTCCCATAGAGGTACTGCATGTGTTATGACTTCTTTTCTGCTTCTCTGATGCCACAGTTCTCTTGGCACTGTATTGCCTGGTACTATGACAATTTCTGTGAGCTCCACTGAAAAAAAAATACAACAACCCTAAGTTTTGCATTGCTATCAAGGCAATTATTTGTCTCTATCTTGTTCTGCCCTTGATGGTGCAACATGCAGTGAAGACTCTGGGTTTCTTTGTAAAGCTGTAACAGTTTAGAGAGATTGAAAAACAACCCATAACACCTTCCACCTCTTTTGCAGGTGAGGTGCAGCAGCTACATATGTACATAGATCCCTACTGTGATATGAGAGAGAATAAATACAAAGGACAATAAAATAATTCTTTCTAAAAGTTTGCAACTTCTTGTTGTATATGAAGAAGACTCAAAACATTGAAGAGGCTGTTAAACAGTGTTTTAGAAATGTGAGATGCGGAAGAGCTTGAGTATAGTGTAGGAGTGAGAAGAATTTCTGTATTTCTTTGATTGGTTCTTTCAGTAACAATGTATTAATCAGTTACAGAGTAAACTTTCTTCCTAACTCCTGTATATATACATATGTGTGTATACACTGTTTTATATCCATATAGTGTTATGTATATATTCATGTACATGTGTGTATAGTGTTATACTATATTGTTATTGAGTCTATATTTACCTGCTTAGTGATTCTGAAGATTAAAACCATATTATCATTCCTGAACAACCTGGGAACTGGAAGCCTGTTAAGATTTTAATTCAGCATGAAGAAAAATAAAAAGGACAAAAATTGAAATGCACTCTTTAAAGGGGAAAAAATGTTATTTTAATGTATTTAATCCTTTATCCTATTTAATGATTTTTTTTTTGCTACCTATATATCTGAAAATTGTATAATTGCAGTGCTAGTGTGTTTTTCAGCAAGGTAAAAAATAGCATAAAAGGTATTTGTTGCCTACAGTGCACTGCATATTTTACTTTCCATTTTTTTTTCTCATTGAAAAATGAAACACTGCTCTTTTTAACCAGAAAAGCCAAATGAGGTATTCGGATCAACGAGTCAAACTACTAAGTGAAATGTTACATGGAATAAAGGTAATGCCACAACTGACAAGAGATTTGGGGTTTTTTTTTTAGGTCATAAAGATAGAAGGTAAGTTGTTTATAAAATTAAGGTTTTATGAGTAATATTTCAGCTGGTAATGATAAAAGTTTAAAGAGAAAATGTTTTAACATAATGTGCTTAAAGTGTTTTTGGAAAATATTTATTGGTTTAATTTGATTTGAAAAACTTACTATCCGTGATGCATTAATTTTAATACCACATTTTTAATAAGAATGAAAAATATGTTAATAGATGTCTGACAACCTTTGGCAGAGTGAAATGTTAGCGTAGAAGAAAAGCACTATTAAAAGTTGTCTCATTTTTGTTATTTATCCTGTTTTGAAAAAGCTCATTATTTATGATACATAAGGGACAAGTTGAAATCTGAAGAATTAAGAATGACTAGAATATATCTTCCATAAGAACAACCTAATTTAGAGTTATCTGAGGTCTTGCTTTCATTTGTAAAACATTCAAATTTTTGTAGTTTGGCATTGCTGAATATTTGAAAATGACATTTGGAGCTTAAGCTTATTTTCTGAAGCATGGTCACTGGTTCTTTGCTTTATTAAAATATGTTTGTTTGATTGTCTAGATCCTCAAACTTTACGCATGGGAACCTGCATATCAAAGGAAGGTCATGAGCATTAGAGAACGTGAAGTGGATGTTTTGAAGTCATCTGGGTATCTGATGACTTACTCCATGCTAACATTGACGTGCATTCCTTTTATGGTTTGTTTTATAAAAATATTAGTTCATGTATAACTGTTTCTTGTATTCCCTATTGCTTTAGTAGCTGAATGGCTCACAAATGTTGCCTCACAGTATCTCAAAACATCAAATTTATCATCACAATATATTTGAATTCTCAGGTTCTAGTAGTGTGTATACAACTGGAGAAGAACAAGAGAGATTATGACTTGACCAAGCTTTTAAAGACCTCTGTTAGAAAGTCAGAAACCAAATCCAAAGCTCCTGAATCTCATTTCACTGATTTAATCATACTGTTTCTATTGCTTAGAAATCAACTAGAAATCAACTTAGAAATCAACTTCTTTATACTCCTCCTTTTTTAATTTTTAAGGGAATGTGTTTTCGATCTGTAATTTTTAGCTATACCTTCTCAAACACTAAACCTCTAAATATATGAAAAAGAAAAAAACAAAAAATATGAACCAAATTCATCCTAGTCTTGTTTCAGTGGAATTCTGTCAGTAATGCATTGAGATCTTTGGATCTTTAAATGCCTCTGTTAAACACTATCATAAAGGGAGACTTCAGGGCCTTGGGATGACTGGTTAAGGGATCAGGAGCACAAGTAGTGTTCTTCTCTATCCTTCCATGATGAGGGGAGAAACAGAAGGAGCCAGCAGATCAATACCTGGCTCCAAACCTTGTGTCAGTGGCAGAATTTTGGGTTTTTGATCATGGGTCAGTCTACACGACACCAGGCCTGCTGGCAATAGACTGGAACATCTGTCTCAAAGGGGGAAAAAGATCTTTGCACGGGAGGTCGCAGGGCTTGTTGAAAGAGCTTTAAACTAGATTTGAAGGGCGAAGGGGATCAAACCAGGCTCGCTAGAGATAAGCGTGAGGGTGGCATGCCTATGTTTGAGGGACAGCATGCTAGCGAGGTCCTTCCATCTGCCATCTCAGTGAAGGTGGGGACAGAGATACATGTGGCAGCAAAGACACAAGGGTTATCGATGTGTTAAAAACCATGGAAGTGCCTGAGAACAGTCATATAGGAATTAGGGCTTCTTCCCCAAAAAACATGGCCCACCTGAAGTGCATCTACACCAAGACACGCAGCATGGGCAACAAACAGAAGGAGTTGGAAGCCATTGTGCAGCTGGAAAACCATGATATAGTTGCAATCATGCAAATGTGAGTGCTGCAATGGATGGCTATAAACTCTTCAGAAAGGATAGGCAAAGAACTAGAGTAGTTGGAATAGCCCTGTATGCCTGTATGTTAGGGAGTGTTTAGACTGTCTAGAGCTTAATGATGGTGATGAAAGGGTTGAGTGTTTATGGGTAAGAATTAGGGGAAAGGCCAACAATGCAGATATCATGGTGGGAGTCTGTTATAGACCACCCAACCAGGATGAAGACACAGATGAAATATTTTATAAGCAGCTGGGAGAAGTCTCACAATCACTCGCCCCTGTTCTTGTGGGGGACTTCAACTTACCAGACATATGCTGGAAATACAATACAGCAGAAACAGTCTAGGAGGTTCCTGGACTGTGTGGAAGATAACTTCCTGACACAGTTCGTGAGTGATACAACTAGGGAGGGGGCCCTGCTGGACCTCTTGTTTGTGAACAGAGAAGGACTTGTGAGTGATGTGATGGTTGGAGGTTGTCTTGGGCATAGCGATCATGAAATGATAGAGTTTTCGATTCTCAGAGAAGTAAGGAAGGGGT